AGGCAGGAATAATAAGATCGTTCTTTCTCTGTTTACTGAAGCCTGATTGGTTGTTGTTAATCCAACAGTAGTTAGAAACAACAGTAAAGAGAAAAAACGATCTTATTATTCCTGCCTCTCACTCTAATCGTCTTTCTACCCCCACCATTGCCATCAGCGGTCCATTCTAGATATCGATGGGATCACCCCATTACGATTTTTATTATGTTACATGTTCATATTTCAACTTAGATAAATTATTGACATAAAATGTGATTAACTCGTATTTGAATCTTAATTTCAATGGTTCAATTCTTAACGTTATGTAATTTGACGATACACTTTATTTATTGCTTTGTACAAGTTTATATTCCTAATGGACATTGTTTCAATATTGTAACTTTGTATTATAGTACACTAGGTCTCACATTAGACAAAAATTGTAATGGTTTAGTTAAAGAACTGTTAGGTCAAAAATATTGTAACCTATATTTAAAGTATTTTATATTGTGATGATTGATTATATTGATATGACGATTTATTATATAGCTAATCTGGTAATTGGACAAAGAAGAATGGACAGGATTGTCATGGAGCAAGATATTGGAATTCATGAATACTAGTGTAGCGTTTTAAATTTGATATTGATAAGGACCAAAATGTAATGGTCGAAACGTATATTATTTAATTGATATGATTTGTTTAATTCACACGTAAATAAATTGTGCATTCGAAAAACATATGTTAGCTTTAACAGGCTTGTTTTCTATTGTTATTATTGATTGATTCTTTTGAGCCTTTTTTAAGATAGTTGTTGATAAACTATAATATAATAATCATAATCATCTTAAAATCTTACTTAAATCCATCTTGAAATGATTTCCTTCTTATTGTAAAAAAAATGAATAAACGCACAGTTTACAAGAGGGGCTGTAATTCAAACGTTTCTTTTTTTACATCGAATAAAATTGTCAGTATTCTTTCGAGTACAAAATATTGAGAAAAAAAAAACGTATTTGTT